AAAAAAAAAAAATTCATAGTATTTTAGTATTTTGGTAAAGCTGGAGAGTTTGGAAAATCTCTCAATATCTTTTTCTAATCCTGATATTAGTCCTTGGATCTCATCGGAGATCCAATTCCCACCAGCAATTGCCGCAAAATCACCAATAATAAAAAATAATAATAATAATTTCAACAGAAAACCCACTTCTAAATCCAAAATCACAAAAACCCCATATTTGAACAAAACAAAACCCAAATGTAAGATCCCAAGAACAAACCAAGAAACGCTAGCTTTTCTGGGTAAAAATCTTCTTCGAATCAAACTGAAAGCATCTACTGGCTTGGTCAAAGCCGAGATTTGTGAGAGAGAGGGAGAGAGACTCACCTTTTTCTGGAGACCAGCGATTAGGAGCTTGGGAGAGAGCTCGAGAAATCTGTGAGAGCAAATGGAGGAGCCTGCTTTTCCATGTTTCTTCTCTTCCACGATGAGCAACACGTGTACAGCAGGAAGAAAATCCAACGAAAAAGCGCACGATGAGGACGCAGGGAACACGCACACGCAGCATGCATGAAGAAGGGCAAATCGCCACTTCACTGCACAATCCCAATAAAACCGGAAAACCATGAAGAAAATGAGGGACAAAGCTGGGTGGACACTATTAATGAACAGTAGTTTTCCACTGGCTTTTAGAACATTATAATTTGGTTCCAAAATACTCTGATTTTCCAGATGGAACAAATTAAGGTAGAGAGAGTTTCCAACATTTCCACAAAGTGAATCAAAACCGTGGTTATATTTTCAGATGGAATACAAATTAAGAGAGAGAGGGATATTATATACATATTGATAATACTTGCATTTGTGAATAATGTATCTTCACAATATAAATTCATAATTGGAAATGGTCAATATCTTAATCTTAATTAATATCATCCCTACAAAATCATTAGAATCAGAGATCGTCAAGTTATCCAACGGTATAAATAAATCATCGGGTAATTAGGCTGTTCACACTATACTCAGTCAGACACAGTACAATGCGCTAGTTCTCTGTTTTAGCTGCAAAGCTCATTTAGCACATAAGAGACAGATATTGGATTGGCAAGTCATCCAATAAGGTTAATTGGTGGTGGTCTTTAATGGAAAAGGATCCTCACTGGATTCTTTTTTTAGGGATTCCGAAGATTCTATGATCGTGACCGTTTATCGTATATCGTGCAGTCATAAATCATTTAAATTTAAAATTTAAAATTAAATATAAATTGTACTTAACGAAAACTGACCGCACGATATACAATGAACAGTCATGATCGCAGAATCCCCGAGATCCCCAAGAAAAGAATCCGACGAAGATCCTTTTTCGTGTTTAACAAACTACAACCACAATAATTGAAAGAACAAAAGAAATAAACTAATTCCAAGTTGTAAGTTGTAACACGTCTGCTCGTTTGGTCTAGGAGACAAAAATGTGCTTCATGTGATAATTAAATATTGCAAAAATTTTATGGTGTTGCTGATATGCGTATAGTAAGTCTTTGGAGCCATCTACGTGAGTCAATTCAAATAACAGTTTAAACTTTAAAGGGCTGTTTGATACTCATTTGTTTGTAATTTTTTACTTTTTAGTTTTTAATTTTTTTGTTAAAGATAGAGGACAAATACATTATCATCTAACTCATTTGTTTGTACTTTTCTGCTTTTTAGTTTTTAATTTTTTTTGTTAAAGATAGAGGACAAATACATTATCATCTATTTGAGTGTTGATGATGTGTGTCTATCATGGTAGACATATGGTGGAGTCTAATTGGCTATTGGTACAATCGATCAACCTTGCATGTAATGTTAACTTGAGCCGCCAGTTTATTCTTTGTCACTTAAATGAGGAGAAGACCCAAAATATTTAGAATACATCTCTATTTTTATTTATTGGGACTTTATCTGTTTTGTACTAGTTCTATAGAATATGAGACGATAATTAAGAGAAATTTTATGGAACAAAACTTTGGATCTTGAGGTATTTTGAGTGTAAAGTAAATGCTTTTAATTACTTGAACTACAAATTTCTTGTTAAATGATAATGAGTACACGTACACAAAATAAACTAAACTTCCCATTTAATTATTGGATTAAGTAATGAAAACTATCCAACTTTTTAGTGTTATTTCAAATTGGTCTCAACATTTCAAAACATTCCAAAAAAGTACACAACCTATTAAAAATGTTACGTCCAATAGGCCATGTTTGGACTAAAAATAGACATTGGGCCTGACCTAAGCCCATGATCCCACAAATCACTTTTATTTCTTAATGGGTATCTCATTTTAATAGGAATAAACAGTGGACGACCCAAAGTTCAGAAGTACTTTTGAAGTAGCAGGAATGGGCGGCTTGATCGCCCTCTTTCACTTTAAAGGAGGATTGTTCAGTTGAGTTTTGCAGTGGAAAAGTACATTTCAGTGGCAAGTTCATAGTTCCAAGAGGATCAGAGCTTAAGTATCCAAGTGGAAGCTTATCATCTGGCAATAATCACATCAACCACTTGAGTCAAGGGCAATGAACTGAGAATGAAAGGTTTAATCTCGAAGAATGAAGGGTTTCTATAAAAGGCAGCAAAAAGGTTAAAGAAAAGGACATTCAAATTAACATACAAAATACTTCTAAAAGCTCTGCAACCTATTTTTCACATATTCTCTGACACACCCCGACCTGATGTCCAGTGGGCATTGAAACCGAGGTGTGTTGAACATCACCTGGATGGGTGATGAAGCCATAATACACATGAAATCACAGCTAGACTGTGAAACTATTACAATCTATCGAAATTCGGCAGTACGTCTCCTAAAAATAGTGATAAGCCCAAATTAAAACACCTGCAAGTATCACAAATTTTCTCTCACATCCCTCGAAAGGCCACATCTAATAGGTCTCTGACCCTTAGTTACATACCTGATAACATGTTTAGAGCATATTTGTCAAAATAGAAGTTCTAATAAAAATGAATAAGTAACTTATCTGTCAAAGCTTCGGAAAGATGTCTCCACATCAAACGTGCTCACCAAAATTGCTACTTACTCTAGTGGCATAGCATACAATACAACACACTAGCCATGGCTAGTGTAAGTTGGTTAATATAATCATATCATTATTGTAGTCTCGAAGTAATGACAAGCTGAGTGCATGGCTGTATAATCATGTCATTACTGAGTAATTTTGAAGTAATGACAAGTTGAGTATAACAATATAATCATGTCGTTACAAAGTGATCTTGACATAATGACAAGCTATAATGACATGAAATCCTATGAACCATACCCTTAGGCTCTGGGAAATCCTTAAATGCCCATTGCATACCTTGATCCACTACTGTCCGAATAGCATTTCCTGCTAGACTCTAACAAGCTTGCTTTGCTTCTCCCCTGGCTTAAACAAGCCAGTGGCATATGCTTGCTTTGATCGAGATCTTTGAAGATGATTCTATACTACAATTTGGTGGCGGAACTTACTTGTGAATTTACCACCCCATCAGATTACAAACATTGAATATTCATTCCAAACTAAACTTCTATAAACTTATAAAACTTGATAAAAATTGAGAAAACTTCTAATTTATTGAATAGAGGAAAACTCCATACAAAATGAGTACAACCATCAACAAACACTACATAATATATGTAGCCTTCAATGGATTTTATAGGAGATGACCCACATACATCTGTATGAATCCACAAAAAAGGAACAAACACTTAGTAGATTCAACATGAAAATGATTCCTAATCCTCTTTCCTTGAATACAACCACTGCACATTTTATGAGTATAATCTAAGCCTCTAAGGTGTGAGAAATCTGCGACTTAGATAGCATAATAGACATGACTTTATTTGCTGAATAACCCAATCTGTGATGCCAAACAGAAGATTTCACCGATTGTCCAATTGAAGCACTTGCATTTTGAAAAGTAGAAACATAAATCTGAAACAATTCACCAGGATTACTCTTACCTTTGTAAAAGATTACCCTTGTCAACTTGTCATTCACAAAAAAACTGAGTATCATCATAGACAAACCAATATTTGTTGTCCTTGCACAATTAAGGAAACGACATAAGATTCACAGCAATGGAAGGTACATGTAAAACATTCTTTAAAATAGGAGAGTGAGAAGGAGTGTAAGTCAATGTATTTCCAAGATTCTTAATAGGCAAACCTTGACCATTGCCTATTTTTATTTTCTCTGAACCTTCAAAATTAGTTACTTGATTAAGAAATATCTGAAGTTATGTGGTTAGAAGCTTGTGTATCCATAAACCAAGAGGTAGGATTGGAAAAAGATTTAGATCCTTGAGCAGTCATGGCATTCATGTATGAAGGTTGATAATGATTCTCAGGAATTGGTAAACTTTGTGGTACTGTAAATCCTTGTGGAGAAGGCACCTGATATGAATAATGATAAGCAAAGGGAACTGAAAGTATTAACGGTGGCTGTGGCTGGACAGAGTAAGTTGGAGCGAAGAAAAATGGTGGCTGTGGCTGGACTGAGTAATTCCTCACATGATAGCATTCCAGTGCAATGTGCCCCTCTTTTCCATAAATTTGGCATTCTTGAACACAACCAGAAGAAACACCATTAGAATTCCTGAAGAAGCAGTTTGGAGTTGTATGTCCTCTTCTATGGAGCATGGCATTCAGGTTGTAGAGGAGTCATTGAAATAGTATTTCCAGACCAACATTTTCTAATAGTGACATATTCTTTTGGTAACCTAGCTAAAGCTACAATAATGACATCATTGTCTAAGATGAATTCACCAGCTGCTGTCTTTTCCCGGATGGATACAAACTAAAATGACATGGGCTTTTAATTAAGATAAATAAAATCTTAGTTAAACAAACTAATTAACGTGTAAAGCCCAAAACTAAATAGTGTATTGAACACAAACTGAGACCATATGAATGCATATGAATGTCGAACTTATTCGAGTGAATGTTTATAAAACTCTTGACATTTTGTGAGTTCGAGAGCACTGAAGACAAATTTAGATTTAAATATTTCAACAAAAAACATACACTAGTCTAAGACGTTATAGACTTGGGCATTTTTTTAGAAATTGCCAATTTTACACTAACAGTAAAATTACAAGAAGGGGGAAACTACACTTTCCACAACAGTTATTTAACCACTGGCACTGAGAGGGCCTGCGGTAAAAAACAAATGTATACAACATGATTCTTGAGGTCTGTTGCAGGAAGCCGATTCAAACTACGGGCCACAAATTGCTGAGTCGTCAAACTCACTTAATTTTGAATTGCTGAATTTACCATCTGTAGGATCCATCGTAGTAGTACTGCACAGCTGGATACTGTGGATAGTGAAAATAGCTTGATGCCCACTGAATTGGCTCAGGCTGCTCAGCTGTTTTTTCTTCCGGATTTTTCAATTCTTCGACACTTACTATGGTGCCAGAGCCAAGCTTCTTCTTCAATGATTTAGCCAAGTCAACGGCATCAATTCCGTCTCCGGTAACCACCACATGCTCTTTCTCTACTTCTATGGACACCGAGCTCGCACCTGCTTAATCAGTGACTCATCATTAGTTGATTGTTTAATTAATTTTCAATAATTCATATGAATGATCAATGATCATTTGGATAGTCACCAGATTGCTTCTTGATTTTAATGATGCATACCTTTGGCAACCGCAGCAATCTTCAAGGCCTTGGTTCTGCATTTCTCCGAGTTCAGCTGCACCTTCATGACTATCTTTTGCTGCATATACAAAGATCATATGTTGTTAAAAACCTTTGTGATTTGGCTTAACAAAGGTGAAAATTTCAAATTAATAAAGAACACGGAGTGATTTCGCACAATCTTTTCTCTCGCACACACTCCTTTGACGAAAAAACATGTTTGACAAAATCGTTTCTCTAAAGAAATGGAATACTTAAATATATATACGTTATATCTGAACAAATGAAAACGCTTGCCTTCATGTTCGGGAGCAGAAAATGAGTCTTATGAATCTATGAACTGTTAACTCTAGATTTCAACTTGGGCTACTTGGATGCCACTTAAAAACCAATGATAAGGTATTTATAGGAGCTTAATCTTTATACAGTATTACTTCTTGTTGACTTGTGTGTCCCCACGAAAACGAGTATATCTTAAAGTAGGGTTAATACGTACAAAGGACCATCTGCTTGAAAACCAAGATTTTCACACTGGACCGGGTCAGACGCGGTATGCATTTGGTGTACAAGAGACAGATATTGAATTGGCAAGTCACCTGTAAGGTTGGTGTGCTATTTGACTTAATGATTGGGGCATCGATCCTACATTTCATATGGAATTTGAAAAAATATAAATTAATTTCAAGTTTGTAATACGTCTGCGCATTTGGTTAAAGACAAAGATATGCCTCAAGTGGACGACCAAGACTTGATTAAATATTGCAAAAGTTTTATGGTGTCGCTGTTTTGTGAGTCATTTCAGATTAAAAAAAAAACTATGGTGGCGTCCAATCGGGTACTACTATCATCGATCAACCCTGCATGTAATCTCAATGAAAAATCTTTTACCAAAACCTTGAATGTAATCTTAATTTGAGCCAACCACTTAGTTTTTGTCACTTAATGGAGTGGAAGACCCAAAAAATATAGAACACATTTTTATTTGTTGGGGCTTAATTTATGTTTTTTTGTTGTGTTTTTGAGAAAGAAGTACCTTAATTCAAAGAGAAACCTTGGGTACTTCCAAGTTGTTTGAGCTTTGTGTGTTTGGTTTTAGTTCCGTAGGAAATGAGAGATAATTAATAGATAAAATTTATCGATCAAAACTTTGAGTCTTAAAGCATTTTGAGTGCAGGTAAACGTTCTTAATCACTTGAATGATAGTGAATACGTGTACATGGGTTTAATACAAAGTAAACTAAACTTTCCATTTAATTTTTACAAAGGGATATTATGAGGGTAGAATCGAAAAAAAGTCTAAGCTCGTTGTTATCATAGATCTTGCTAATGCGAAAAAAAATACTGTCATGTGGGCAAAATTTAAAGACCCGTTTGATATCTATTTTACTTGTAATTTTCAGTTTTTTAGTTTTTAAATTTTGTGTTAAAGATAGAGGATATATACATTATCATCTATGTGAGTGTGGATGGTGTGTGTCTATCAAACACATGGTGGAGTCTAATTGGCTATTGGTACAATTGATCAACTGTGCATTTGCATGCAATGTTAATTTGAACCACCCGCTCAGTCTTTGTCACTTAAATGAGGGGAAGACCCAACATATCTGGAACACATTCTTATTTATTGGGGCTTTATCTGTTTTGTGCTATAATTAATCCTCATACAATGATAATGAGTACGTTGACACAAAGTAATCTAAACTTCCCATTTAATTTTTTATTTTTTTATTTTTTATGCAAGCGATATTATAAGGTTACGTCGAAAAAGTCCAAATTTGTTGGTTGTCATGGATTTTGCAGATGCGAGACGAAAGTATAAATTGAACAAAACAAAAATGCTCTCGCATCTCTGGAGCAATGCGTTTTTCTATTTGGAATTAGTAATTTCAAATCGCTTTGAGCGTAAATGAAGTAGTCTACTTTTGTAGTTGAAGGCTAATTCTCGGATTTTGATTCTTTTTGACTGCTTTGTGCGTGTTAAAGAATAAGGCTACTTTTGTAGTTCGACTTGCCTGATCCTTCATCATTCTCATTTATATATAATAAAAAAAAATTCAAAGTATTTAATTATATATATATATATATATACATATGCTTAGGTAAAAGTGCTTATACTTGGGTAGTCTATTTGCTACAACGAATCTGGAAGAAAATAACTTGGTAAATTACATAAAATTACCTCAACTATTGGGTCAATCACAGTTTCATATCTTATCTTTAAAACATTTCAATGTCATACCTCATCTTACAAATTTGTTATAATTTCATACCTTTCGTCAGTTTGTCAGTCAATTTTTTTGTTAAATAGTGACGTGGCTTGAGACGGGGCCCACTCTCTATTAAAAAATTAATTAAATATCAAAAACTAAAAAAAATAAAATCATTTAATATTTTTTTTGCATGGGGGACCCACCTCTTATCCCCCTCACCCTTTCTTCCCCATCCACCCTTGTCCCCCCAACCTTTCTTCAACGCCAAAACAGAACCCTTGCCACCGTCTTTTCCTCCATCTCCACCTCCCTCCCATGGTGCTCCTCCCGCTCCCCTCCTCTTACCCACCTATCACCCTTACCAAATTAATCCCTGTAACCAATTTCAAACAAAATACCCCAATTTGACCCAAACCCTAACCCTAAATTTCAAATTCACCTGTTTCGGAGAAAGCTTCAGGCTTTGCTCAAGGGTTTGTGGGTTTTGGTTCAGGGGACGGGAGGCAGCTATGCTTAGGTTCTGGGGTCGAAGGAGAGCGAGTTCGATCGGGTTTTTCTGGGTTTTGGTTTGGGGTTCGAGAGAAGAGGCAGGGAGCGACGTTGGCGTCGGAGGGAGGGGGAGCGATAGCGGAATTGGCCAGAATAGAAGAGAAGAGTGGGGAGAGAATCGATGGAATCGATCACCTACAAAAAAAAAATTCTGGGTTTTTTGTTTCAAAATTTGTTTGTTTCTAGGAGAGAAAAGAAGAGTGAGGGAGTAGGATGAGTGGCCGAGGAGGGTTGGGGGATGGGGGAGGGAGATGTTGGCGAGGTGGGACTTGGGTTTGGGGTGGTTCTGGTTTTGGGTTGGGGGAAGACAAGGTGAGGTGGATAAAGATGGGGAAGAAAGTCCCCCATGCCAAAAATAAAAAATAAATAAATAAATAAATGATTTATTTTTTTTAGTTTTTAATATTTAATTAATTTTTTAATAGAGAGTGGGTCTCGTCTCAAGTCATGTCACTATTTAACGGAAGAATTGACAGACAAACTGACGGAAGGTATGAAATTGTAACAAATTCGTAAGATAAGGTATGACATTTAAATGTTTTAAAGATAAGGTATGAAACTGTGACTGACCCAATAATTGTAGTAATTTTATGTAATTTATACTAACTTTAAGTTAAAGTGCCTAATTTAGTACCTGCAGAATCTATCATAGTGGTACTGCACAGCTGGATACTGTGAATAGTGAATATATCTTGACACCAACTGAATTGGCTCAGCTAGCTTTTCTTCCGGGTTTTTCACTTCTTCAATACTGACTACGGTGGTGAAGCCAAACTTGTTCTTCAACGACTTGGCCAAACAAACGCCATCAAACTGAGACAAAACCATGCTTAGATTCAAATTTGGTAGAGAGAGAGTTTCCAACATTGCCACAGACTGAGTCAAAACCGTGCTTAGATTTCAGATGGAATACAAATTAAGAGAGAGGGGTATTATTTATATATATATATATATATATATATTTTTTTTTTTTTTGGACAATGCTTGCATTTTCTTCTTAGCGGATGAGCTCATTCATCTACTAGCGAATAACGTTCATTCACATTAGAAATTCATAATCGAAAACGTTCAATATCTTAACTTAATTTGAGACCATCCCTACAAAATAATTCGAATCAGAAATTGTTTAGTCATTCAACGTTATCAAATTAATAAATCAATGGTACATCATGAATATGATACTTGATGCCTACATTGTTGATTTATTTGATACACTTAAATGATTAAGCGATTTCCAGTTTAAATGATATTTTATAGAAATAGTTGTCAAATAAAGATTAAGGGATTGAACCACTCCAATTATGAAAACTCTACAGTAAAGTACGTTATTTGGGAGAATGTAAGTATTACCATGGAAGAGAATATGATATTAACAAGTGGTTTAACAAAAATACATTAATTAGTACAGTATAATACACCCTAGTACCATACACGAATGTTCTCTAGTTTTGATTGGCTTCAAACATCAATTTAAGCCCTACATATGTTAGAAAGTATATTACGCTTATGTGTCAATTTTATGTGTTTAAATAATTTATGTCTCTATAAAAGTACATACAAAAATCTTCTTATCGATGATCATATCTTGTACATCCCCATTGGCAAACCGAAGTCAAAGTCTTTGAGTAATCAAAACAAATTGATCGTAAAAAGCAGTTTCCAAAATCTGAAAATTTTCCTCGTTCCTTTATTTGTTCTTCCTCTTAACACACAGAGATGAAAAAAGAGAAGGAATGCAAAAAGTCACAGAAGAGAGAAAGAAGACTTTGATATTACAGCAATAACAGTTTTTCATTACATTGGAAAATGACTTAGCTCACTATATATAGTAACTAGGATACTTAGTCAGTAAGTCAACTTGTAACTAACTAAAACAAACACTTTAGGATCATTACACATGTCATAGTAGAGATTATGCCACTTGGCATTCTTATGGTTAATACCCCACCTCAATCTCAACTGGGGAACCCCGGTTTGAGATTGCAACAGTGATGAAGAAAGGCCGGACCATGTAATCCCTTCGTCAATAGATCAGCAACCTGGTCTTTTGTAAACATATACTCAACCTGCAAGTCTCCTTTGTGAACTCTTTCATGAACAAAGTGAAAGTCAGTGTCTAAATGTTTAATCCGAGTATGAAAAACTGGATTTGAACATAAGGCCAAGGTGGATATATTATCACAATATAAGAGAGGAGGATCAGGTAGATAGACCTTCAAGTCTTTCAATATAAGGCTCACCCAAGCAATATCAGCAGCAGCATTGGCAAATGCTTTATATTCAGCTTCGGTTGAGCTACAGGAGACCACCCCTTGTTTCTTAGACATCCACAAAATGGGATTTTGTCCTAAAAACACCACATATCCAGTAGTTGACCGCCATGTGTTAATGTCAGATGCCGAATCTGCATCACTGAATGCAGTGATTCCGATACGATCTGTTCTTGAATATGTGAGACCACATGACATTGTTCCTTGCAAGTATCGAAGTATCCTTTTAACTAAATGAAAATGTTCATCAGTAGGTGTTGCCATAAACTGACATGCACAATTCACAACAAATGCAATATCAGGACGTGTAAATGTCAAATACTGCAAAGCTCCCACCAAACTTCTAAACAACTTGGGATCTGATAATGGAATACCTTCATCCTTAAGAAGTTGTGTATGTGGTTTGTAGGGGGTTGGACATGGCTTACAAGACTCCATACCTACCCTCTTGAGCAGATCTTTGACATACTTTGGTTGGGAAATAAACAAATCTCCATTCTTTTGATATGTGATCTCCAATCCCATAAAATATGTGAGTAGACCCATGTCCTTCATATCAAATACATCGCCCAAATCAGTGATAACTTGTTGAACCAAAGAAGGACTTGAACTAGTGATGATGATGTCATCAACATAGAGCAAAAGTATAACCACATCATGATTGTGAGCTTAATGAACATACTTGGATCTGATTTTGAAACCTGAAATCCCAAAGTTGGCAAATAAGTTGTAAATTTTGAATTCCAAGCTCGAGGAGCCTCCATATAGAGACTTCACCAGTTTGCAAACATACTCTGGATGCTCAGGGTCTTGAAAACCTTGTGGTTGTTTCATGAATACTTCTTCCTGTAAATAATCGTGAAGAAATGCATTCTTCACATCAAGCTGCCTTAGAGACCATTTGTTTGATGCTGCCAGAGCTAAAACAATTCTAACTGTGATGTGTCTCACAACAGGACTAAATGTTTTGTCATAATCCAAACCTTGTTCTTGACTGAACCCTGGAGCCACTAAACGAGCTTTATACCTAGACATTTTGCCAAACTGATCTCTTTTCACCTTATAAACCCACTTGCTGCCTATTACATTTCTATTTGAAAGTAGAGGAACCAACTCCCAGGTTCCTTGTTTCTGTAAAGCGGTGAACTCTTCAAGCGTGGCATTTCTCCAATTTTCACAAGGAACAGTAGCTTTGTAAGATGTGGGTTCAGAAAACTCAGTAATACTTAGAAGAGCCATATAACCACATGGATATATCTTTATGAACAACATCACAATCAATAGCAATTGAGTCATAAGCAAAGTAAGCATTATAATCTTGTCTCTAAATAGCACTAAATTTCAATCTAGTTTGCATTGGATGAATTAAACTTGAATCATTATTTGGATTGAGGAAATGAATTACCTTTAATTGGGCTGAACTCTGGACATGCAACAAAAAGTTGTAAGTTGATGTAGAAAGGGGAATAGTGTGAGGGGAAGCAACCTGTTACTGAGTACATGAAGACATTTCTTGATTCTGAGATGTGGAACAATCTTGTGATGAATTTGAAGCCACTGGAACTGACTAATCTAGCATAACAGCATCATGAGAACTCATTTGATCCACTGTATGAACTGATTGAGACCTTGTTCCAGATTGTGATGAACTGTTGTCACTATTTATAGAATGAAAAACATAAGGAACAAGGATTGAACGTGTAACAAATATGTTCCCAGTATCTTTTCAATACTGAAACTTTATCTCACTGTGATGAAAAGGAAAGGTTTGTTCATCGTGAATCACATGTCTGGATATCAACAATTTTTTTTTAGGGCTCTATGATAACAAATGACCCCTTTGTATCCTAGTGAGTATCCAAAAAATACACATTGATTTGTCTTAGCATCTAACTTTGATGAATTATATGGTCTAAGATAGCGGTAAACGGATGTCCCAAATACTTTTAAAGAAGATAACACTGGTTGAACTCCAAATAGTTCAAAAAATGGAGACTGCAATCCTAATGATTTACAAGGCATTTTGTTGATAAGAAAAACCACATGAGCACATGCATGGAACCAAAAATTATGTGGTAAGTGAGCTGTGGATAACATGGTTACTGCAGTTTCTAAAATATGTCTATATTTTCTTTCTGCAGTTTCATTTTGTTGAGAAGTATATGGACAGGAAACCAAATGCACAACACCATTTGATTCCAGAAACCTCTTGAAAGCAAGACTCATATATTCACCACCTCCATCTGATTGAAAAAACTTAGGAACAACTTGAAAATGATTCTGAATAAAGACATAAAACTTCTCAAACACGTCTAGAACTTGAGACTTGTATATTAATGGGAATATCCATGTAAATTTTGTACATTCATCAATAAGGCTCACATAGTACTTGTAACCTTCAATTGATACAATTGAAGATGGACCCTATACATCGCTACTTATTCTTTCAAAAGGTTGTACAAACCTCACAATCATAGAATCAAAAACCTATCTAGACATCTTGCCTCTAAGACAATGACTACAGACATGTTTATTTATATCAGGCTTATATGTGATTTGAGAACTGGACAACAGACTATGAAATACTTCATTGGTAGGATGCCTTAACCTATAATGCCATAAGGATGCTCTCACAAGCTGACCAAGCAATACCTTTGGTGAAGATGTTATTAGACGATTATAGTTGAAAAAGAGCTACTTTGGTATATGGTATAATCCCCTACTACTCATTCCTCTCATGAGAATTGTCTTTGTTGCCTTATCCTGCACCCAAAATCCAAATTCATCCATAATCACATAACAGTTATTATCCTTGCATAAAGTATAAACTAAAATAAGACTAGCAGCTAAATCTAGAACATGTAGCACAATATAAAGATGAAGTGGTTTAGAAGATGTTTTGACAGAGGAAGAACCAATGTTTTTGATAGGAAAGCATTCACCACTTCCCACTGTGATTTTCTGATCTCCTTCAAATGGTGTCAGCATGTTTAAATCGCCAATATTTCCAATCATATGATGAATAGCTCCAATGTCCATTATCCAAGCCTGATTGTTATTGAACTCCATTGAAGACTGATCAATCATAGCATTAAGAGATGATGGTGGTTGAGTTCCTTGAAAAGCATAATTGCCCTTGTGGAAACAATTCAAGGCAGTGTGACCACGTTTTCCACAGATTTGACATTCAGGAATCGCTTGATTAGAAGTAGGTGATTCCTCATTTCTATAATAGCAATTTGGTGCAGTATGCCCCTTTTTGTTGCAAATCTGACACTTAGGAATGATGTGTGATCGCTGACCATTATTGTCATTCCAATTTCCCCATGTTGAGCCTCCATTGTTATTGCCTGAAGAACTATTAAAACCACCAGTGTTGCGGTTGTTGAAGTTCCCAGAATTATGACCATTGTACATAGGTCTAGAGTTGAACCTAGGGCCATTGAAACCATTGTTGTTTCTATGGGCTTGAAACTGTTGAGATAGATTACCCTGAGAAAAATGTCCACCACTTGGTCCAGTGCCATTTGATCTTGGAAGTTGACTCACAAAACCTACACCTCCATTAGAATAATCTCCCTGATAAAATGCCTACTTGCACATGTTGTAGAGGATTCCCCTTGATAAAAATGACCACCATTTGAACCACCTTTATTTGAATTGTCACCTTGATAGTACTGTCTGGATATACCCATAACAGAAGAATCTCCTTGAGAGAACATTCCAATCATAGGAAATTGCAGAGAGGAGGTATATTCTTCAGTTGTTCTTTCTACACTTAACAACTGTACACGAAACTCTTTCAATGTAATTACTGACTCTCTTGCTACAATTACTGTTTTGATTATATTATATTCTGAGGGTAAACCTGCCAGAGCTGCAACAATAAGATCATTATCTGAAATTGATTCTCCTGTAGGAAGTAATTGATCTTTCAAGTGCTTGAGCCTGAGTAAATACTTCTCAATAGAATCTGCTCTCTTCTTGGTAGTATGCAATTCAATCTTTAGATGATTGATTCTTGCCCTTGAAACTGTAGCATACCTGTCGGTGAGTTGAGTCGTCATAAGCAGTTTTACTTCCTACAACATATTCAATAACCTCATCTCCAAGAGCAGCAATCGATAAACTGAGAAATGCTTTATCAGCCTTAATCCATTCACGATAAGCTGCAGTAATCTCTGTTGTAACCCTACTTTCTAACGAGACAACATACTTCGGAGGGCAAACATTGGTACCGTCAAAGTAGTCAAACAAATCATAACCTTCCAACACGGATTGAAATTGAAATGACCATTTTACAAAGTTGTCCTCTTGTAAACGAATTGTAAGCATCCCTAATAGGCCCTCAATCTTGAGTGGAGAACCTCCCATTATCTCACTAATTTTCTGCAGCAACTTTTCCGATCAATCGTAGCAACCGATCAACTCCGTAAGCCAAGACAACTCACACAACTCCTAAGATCTCCCATCGCAATTTTCTGACTAGTCTCATCAACCTTCAGATTCCCAATTGCACCTTTTCGATCGACTCCAAGAATTGCTGGAATCAATCTCGCTAAACTCCTCAGAACCCTTGCCACACAATGTTGTTCCCAAAAAATTTTACGAAACCTGGGCTCGATACCATCTTAACACATAGAGATGAAGAAAGAGAAGGAATGCGAAAACTCACAGAAGAGAGAAAGAAGACTTTGATATTACAGCAATAACAGTTTTTCATTATATTGGAAAATGACTTAGCTCACTATATATAGTAACTAGGATACTTAGTTAGCAAGTAAACTTGTAACTAACTAAAACCAACACTCTAGGATCATTACACATGTCATAGCAAAGATTATGCCACTTGGCATTCTTATGGTTAATACTTCCAACCTGCAGTCTTTGTTATATATCTTGTCAATACAAATGTGATAGAAGGCATACAAAGTCTCAGTCTTCTGTTTTTACGTAAATTAATATATATGGTACTATCACAAATTTTGAATGAATTCTTTCTTGACGGCCAAAGCACCATAATCAACTAACATGGCACTAAATAGGGCTTAGTATTGTGAATTTTGAATGAATTCTTTCTTGACTGCCAAACCATCATAATCAACTAACATGGCACTAAATAGGGTTTAGCATTGTGAAAGTAGAGACAGTTCCTTATATAATTGGTAGCTTGGGCAGTCTAAGGGACTCCAAATCACAATTATATAATTACCATGTGCTCTGTCTTTTATTACCCATTTTCAAAAATGGCTAACTTAAAATATCATGCATAGGAAGAAATTGAGGTTCTACCATAAAATCAATTCATAATATGAAGAATAACACAACTTATTTATAAGCTCATGCAAGGTATCTCCTCACATCATCATTCTCTACGCGCCCCCTCACATGTATTTTTCAAGCCTAACACGTGGACACCATAACGGGGTGATGTGGAGTGCGTGTGTTTGTTTGGTTGAACTGAACATGTGGAACAACCTGCTCTAATACCATGAAAAAGTTGATATTCCACCATAAAACATATTGGTAATATGGAGAGTACCAACCTTAGTTATAAGCCTATACAAGGTCCATTCTCACATCAATGTGAAATTCATTCTCAACACATTAGAATCATAATCATAAACATTCAATATCTTAATCTTAATTTGGGATCATTCACTAGTAAAAAAAGACGAAACACACATCGTTACCCAAAGTCACTTTGCACGACGAAATTGTAAACTTCGTCGTGCAAAGTCTTGCATGACGAAAAACACATTGTCGTGCAAAGTTACTATGTGCGACAAAATTTTGCGCGACAAAACAACATCGTCGCGTAAAGTGATTTTGCACGACGAAATTATAAATTTCGTTGTGCAAAGTCTTGCACGACGAAAAACACATCGTACTTTACGCAACGAAACTTTAAACTTCGTCATGCAAAGTCTCTACAAAAATAAATAAAATAAAATCATTTTTTTTTAAATCTTTGTGCGACGTAATTCAAATATTTCATCCCCTAAACAAATTTATTTTCGTTTTTTATTTTGTACATATAACGCTTAAGAAATTGAACGGTATATATGTTTATTAAGTAGCTTTAAATTTATTATTGTAGTTCAGATTGGGTTTTTGTTAGAAAAACATATTATTGTAGTTTCGATCAAATTTTTGTTAGAAAAATGTATTTTAAATTGACGATCGAATTAGTTTATTATATTCATATAGGGTCAGGGAGTGTAGCTATAAAAAATCATCAAAATCGGAGTTGAAATAACCATTAAATCGTGATTTTTCGTTTATAATCGTCGAAAAGTTTTGTCTCATTCCTTGATCTCTGAATATTTGTTTTTTGCAATTTTTGGCGTATATGATCTCGAACTATATATAAACAAGTTTGACAGTTGGATCGTTGAAACTAATTTCGTAGAATGCGTATCCCATCAAAACAATAGATTCACTAACACTTAGAGTTTATGTATACTTTCATTAAGTATAACATAAGATTTCGTGGTGTCCATTAGTGTAAATATTTTAAATTGAAAATCGAATTCATTCATTGTATTCATATAGGGTCAAGGAGTGTAACTATAAAAAACATCATCAAAATCGGAGTTAAATAACCGTTAAATCGTGATTTTTCATTTATAACCGTCGAAAAGTTTTGTCTCGTTACTTGATCTCTAAATATTTGTTTTTTTTTAATTTTCGTCGCACAAAGTGTTTTTTGTAGTAGTGATTCCTACAAAATTATTTGAGTCAGAGATCGTTTAGTCATCCAACAATATCAAATTAATAAATCAATAACTCATCATGAATACGATACTTGATACCTATACCGTTGATTTATTTGATACATTTAAATGATTAAATAATCTCCAATTTGAATGATTTTTTGCAGGTATAGTGTTCAAATAAAGATTAAGAGATTGAACCAAAGTAAAATCATTCAAATTGGAGATTATTTAATCATCTACATATAAGTTTATCATCTTCGATTCAAATTCAAATCCGATGGGGCAGGTTAGACTGAAATTTATAAAAATCCGTCCACACCCAACCCGACCTCAATCTTATCATTTATTGGGTTGAGTTGGGTTGATGTCTTGTCAGTTTATGTCAATCCAAACCCAACTCAATTTTTAACCCGAATTCTCTCACACACATATTAAGACTTACGCTTCGTATTACTAAGCGAGGTACACTTTTTGGTGGGGATGGAATTTTTCAGAGAGAAAAGCAATTGATTTAAAAAATATTTCTTGTGAACTTCAGATCCATCTACATGTAGGGAAAAGAGAAAATGGTCATAATCAAGTTCAACTAATTCATGTCATAGGCAATTACATTATGGAGAAAGTGGTTGGTTCTGGATATTCATGAACCAATTCACAGTACACTGGACGAAACTGGGGAGTGCAACAATATTGAACACAGCTTGCCGAAGGAACTGAAGGAGTTGGCTTTTCCTCAGTTTTAACTGCCGGCTTCACTTTTTCAACTTCGACTATAGTGCAGGAACAGTCGAGCTTCTTCCTCAATGACCTCGTCAAGAAGACGGAGTCTACATCATCCCCGATCTGTTAGTGTTTAGGCTAGTTTTAGACTAAATTTCTCAGTGCAATTGTTATCAAATCAACAAGTAATTGAAATGAGATTGAAGATGATGTAAAGAAGGTGAAATTCAGGAAAGAATGGAGTTCATAGCTCCTTGAATCTACGTTGGATTCCATCCACCAAAATTGGCTACAAAGTGGGGATTATAGCCGATGCACACCCACAGTAGCAGCGTGACTATGATCACGTACTCAACACATGTTTTCATTAACTTTCTAACAAACTAGACATGTGGCAAGATATACAGCATAGAGACATAATCTTGAGCGTTCATTACAAGGATTTAAATTCAACTAAAGCTAACACTTAGAACAATTCGATCTTCAACTTCTTCTTCCATGTTGCAGCTGCATTGCTTCAGTGATCCAGCTACCATGCTTATGCACCAACACGATCACCTCCATATGATCTGTGTTTGCTCCTTCTATCACACTTTTGTAACACTTGCTTTCATTAATTTTGATACTCTAATTATTTACATGCCAACTATAATTAACAATGAAAAAGGTGAAAAAAAATTTGAATGATAATATCGAAAGGCGCGTACCCTTGTGCAGCAGCTGCAATCTTCAAGGCCTTGGTTCTGCATTTGTCACAGTACATTGGCACTATCTTCATTGCTGCACCATCAATTTGTGTACAAGATATAAAAATAATGTGATCAATTATACATTTAATTAATGTCAGTTAATTTGAAGAAAACCTTCTCGTTTTTAATTAGTTTCAGTTGGATGAAAGGAAAAAAATATATAGTTTCAACAAAATGCAAGAGCAGAAGAATATATATATAGGAAACCTTTAAGGGAAGGGATCCTTATTTTTTTTTTTATAAAAATGTAGATTAGTTGTAGGGTTCACACCACATCGAATTTTAACGATCCAAACCGTTTATTTTTCAAGTTGCACCTCGTAGATCATCCTTGCAAAATATTAGCCAAATCGGAAATGTTTAAGACATCTAATTGAGTTCAAAAAAGTTAACGAATACTTTGTTATATAAGAAACAATGAAATTTTATCTTGATAATTAAATATGCAAATGGTTTCGGATTGAATTGAATTTTTGCAAGGATGTATGAATCAAGACTTATAAAATAGACGGTTCGGATCGTTAAAGTTTGATGTGGAGTGAGCTCCACACCTAATCCCCATTTTTTTTCAAAAAATAAAGATCCCTTTGCATAAAGGACCTAATATATATGAAAAGGCTTACCAGCGGCATATTGAAACATTGAAGCTTTAAGTTCTTGGGATGGAAACCCCATGAATCTGTGGAAGTAGAACTACATATCGATTACTATGGTACTTATAAAAGATAGGAAGCAGATAGGAACCCTTAATATTTTTCTTGACTTTGTGTTACAAGTCCATATACATGCTACTCCGTACCAATTACATGAGATCGTATCTTTCTTTTTCTTTTCTTTTCATTTTTTTTTTGGTGTGAAAAATATGAGATCGTATGTATCATATGGACAAGATTTTGTTTATTGTTATACAAGAACAGTCAGATCTGAAGAGATACTGAACTGAATAGGTTTTCCATTATGATAAAATTAGTTACAACATCTATTTTTATATTACTCTGTAGCACCCCAGGTAGGTATGATTAATCCACTTGATCTACAACATAATGATAACAAAAGTTACTATTACTAGAATAAAAATGTTACTATTACCACATTTTTTATATCATATTTGTATCATCTCTCTAGTAGATATAAAATTCACATGTGTTGGTGGACTCTATCCCTATAAGAGATGGTACAAGACTAAATTATAAATTTCAAAAATTTAGAATAATACATCGTCAAAACTAAACACAATTCCTAGATGTTTATGAAAGCGCAATATTTAATTCTCACAATTCACCTTTGCTCATTGCCTTAAAGGTATGTAGAGTAATTTTTTGTTCTAGCCGTCACACTGTTGCATAAATTTGTAATTCATTCATGTTATAATAAGTAAAATAATCATAAAATATAATAGTGACAAATATACTCAAGCCTAAACTTTGTCACAAATTGTGTTAATATATATGTACGTTTACTTTCTAAAAACAATACACACACACGCGCGTGCGTTTTAACCCGTGTATATATATACTTCTACAAATCTTGTTATCGATGATCAGATCTTGTTGTACATCCCTATTGGCAAATCGAAGTCAAAGTCTTTGAGTAATCGTAACAAATTGATCGTAAAAAGCAGTTTCCAGAATCTGAAAATTTTCCTCGTTCCTTTATTTGTTAGTCCAACCTGTAGCTATCTTTGTTATATATCTTGTGAATACAAATGTGATAGAAGGCATAGCAAAGTCTCAGTCTTCTGTTTTTACGAAAACTAATATATATGGCACTATCACAAATTTTGAATGAATTCTTTCTTGACGGCCAAGCCACCATAATCAACTAACATGGCACTAAACTAAATAGGGTTTAGTATTGTGAAAGTAGGGACAGTTCCTTATATAATTGGTAGCTTGGGCAGTCTAAGGGACTCTAAATCACAATTATATAATTTCCATGTGCTCTGTCTTTTATTAACCATTTTCAAAAATAGATAACGTAAAATATCATGCATGGGAAGAGGTTGAAATTCTACTATAAAATTAATTGACAATATGAAGAGTAGCTTAACTTACTTATAAGCCCATGTAGGTCTCTCCTCTCATCAATGTGGGATTCATTCTCAACACGCCCCCTCACATATATCGAATTTTCAAGCCTAACATGTGGACAACATAACGGGTTGACATGGAGCGCATGTGTCTATTTGGCTAAACATGTTAGACAACATGTTTTGATACAATAAAAAGTTGAGATTCCATCATAAAACCAATTGGTAATATGAAGAGTAACCAAACTTACTTATAAGCCCATACAAGATCAATTCTCCCATCAATCTGAGATTCATTCTCAACACATAGTGTGTTTGCTATGAAACATTGGTCCCAAAAATAAAGGAAACGAAATCCTTGCCATCACTACGTTTTCCTGAATTTTTTTTTTTTTTTCAATACAACAGCAAGAAGCTACGGGATTTTTTTTTTTTATTCTCTTTTCATACAACAACATTCCGTGGCGATCGAAGAATGTTGTTATCACATATGAAAAGTGAATATTTTATACTCAAAACTAAAACTTTGGATAACTAAAACGATGTCATCACTAAATGCTCTGTTAATTGTAAATTATTAGTGAAATTTTTAGAGCCTTGATTTATTGAGATAAAGTTAGGGCCATAATTCAAAGAATGCAAACGGTACATGTATGTAGAACGGGCAAATGTGTCTCAGATCATTTCATCTTTGCATGAGCATTTTACGAATGTGTCTCATATTAGGTTTTAGTGGAAGATGCTAAGTGTTTGCTGCAATCGGTGGCTGAAGTTTCTTGCTTCCTACATCCGCCACCAAGCAAAATGTTTAGCACATAGGCTTGCTTATTTTGCCCTTTATTCTAGTGGTGATTGTACTTGGTTGGACGAACTTCTTATTGTTAACTGTCATCTACTTGAGGAAGATATCTTCTCGCCCTATATTGAGTAGCCTATTTCTGGCTTTTTGAATGAAATTTATGTTGTCTCTTATAAAAAAGGGTTTATATCACAAATGGTCTCTGAAATTGACCAACACCATTAAGATGGTCCCTGAAATTGAAAATTAATCAATATAGTCTTTGAAAATAGGTGTCACAAATCAATGTGGTCCTTCCATCACAATACCGTCAAAACTTATGTTACGTGCTGACGTGACACATAAATGGGGCCCACAAGATATAAGATTTTTTATCACAAATGGTCCATAAAATTGACTCACACCATCAAGATGGTTCTTGAAATTGACCCATCATCAAGATGGTCCATGGACTTGAAAATCAATCAACGCAGTCCATGAAAATAGGTGTTGCAAATCAATGTGTCATCCCGTTACAATTCTGTCATATGTTGATGTTTAATAATTGATTAAAAAAGTTGTCAAAAACTTCTTTGCACAAAGAGATTATCTCAAGGCAAAGCTCACAATTCTCCGCATCACCAAGATCACTGGGGGAGCGCCTAACAAGCTCTCCAAAGTTAAGGTTGTGAGGTTGTCGATCATCCAAATATTGACCGTAGAGTCACAAAAGTCATCACCAATCCAAGTTGTCGCCGAAGGTTGTCTCGATCCTGATCCAATTTGATGAAGGATGTGAAAATGAGTGTTTTAAGTTTTTTTTTTTTTTCCTTTTTTCTAGAGAAGAGACAACAAGGGCTACCATAGATGAAGGTAGAATAGTATGGGTTGGGATCGGAGGTGATTGCGGGACTGAGTTTCTGGGTTGACAACTTTTTAATTAATTATTAAATTATTAGACATATTTCTAATTTATTTTTTATTTAGTTAGACTTGTGGGCCCATTTATATTCCACCTCAGCACATAACAAAATTTTTGACATAATTACAACGGAATGACCCCATTGATTTGAGATATCTATTTTTAGGAACTACATTGATCAATTTTCAATTTTAGAGACCATTTTGATGGTGTCAGTCAATTTTAGGGACCATCTTGATGGTGTAAGTCGATTTCAAGGACCATCTGTGATAAAAAAAAAAAAAAAAAGACTTGTGAGACCCATTTATGTGCCACATCAGCACATAACAGAATTTTTGACAGAATTGTGACGGAATGACCATATTGATTTGAGACATCAATTTTCAGAGACTACATTGATCGATTTTCAATTTCGGGGACCATCTTAATGGTGTGGGTCAATTTCAAGGATCATTTGTGGGAAAAAAAAAAAAAAAAAAGCCAGCAAATATTTGAAGTTCAATTTTCTCCTTAATTGGAATCTCAGTCACACACAAAAATACATTTAAAATTAAGAAATCATTAAACGGAAGGGGTATATATATATATATATATATATAGACACATACATACATGTGTGTGTGTGTGTCAAAGGACAATTACATAATGGAGCAAGTTGGTTGTGGATATTCACGAACCACTTCATAGTACATTGGAGGACATTGCGGAGTGCAATAATAGCTTGCTGATGACGTGTATTCAATAGTAATTGGGTTTTCACCATCATCCGCATTACCGGCTTTCACTTGTTCAATTTGGACTATGGCGGCGAAGCCGACCTTCTTCCTTAACAACCCCGTCAAGCGAACGGAGTCAACTCCATCTCCTGTCACCTCCAGATGATCTTTGTTTTCTCCTTCTAATGACACTTTGCTCACACCTACTTTCATTTTAACGATCATCAATTAATTACTTGATTATCCAACCCTAATCAAATATGAATGAAGAATTGATATAAAATAAACTCAATTGCATTACCGTATGCAGCTGCTGCAATCTTCAAGGCCTTGGTTCTGCATTTGTCACAGTGCATTTGCACCTTCACTAGTATCTTTTGCTGCATCATATTGTATAAATTAATGCCAAACATATGTTGTTAAAATCTTAGATCTTTTATAGAGAACGTTTTAATCGGGAAATTTAGAAAAAATGTATTCTTGCCTCTTTTATGTGTAAAAACCTAACAGACCCCATAGTTTTGATTGCATTCAAACGCTTTGACTAGTTATTATTGCTCGAGACCCCGTCAGGAACAATTGATCCTATAATTTTGCATGTGAAAAGACTTAACTGACCGATAACTTTTTCTAAATTTTCAATTCGATAAAATGTAAGAGTAATACTAATGAAATGTTTTAGAACAAATTAAAACGCTTACCTTCATGTTGGTGACTTGAAAGAATGTACGAAATAAGTTTTAAGCTTGTTGGGATGGAAAACTCTATGAATCTATGAATGAATTAATCTGGGAAAGTAGAACTACATATTTATAACGACCTTAGTCCTTGAGTATTACTCCTTCCTTCCCGTTGACTTGTATTTATAACGACCTCAATCCTACCAATTACATTCGACAAAAAAAAAAAAAAATCCTACCAATTACATGGGAGCATATAGAGACTAGGTTTTTTCGGAATAAGGTACAAAAAGTCAGATTTATAGTTTCCGCGGTTTCGCAGACTTAGTCCTGCTAATGGTATTGCAAAACCTGATCTGTCCGCTCAGCTATTGGCAAATAAAAGATTATACATGAACATTCTTAATTCTTAATTCTCTATGTAACTCTTTTTTGTTAAACTTTCTCTATGTATTAATACAGGCAACCCAAAGAATTTTTCTGTATCACTTTTAGATTTTTTTCCTTTCCATTTTCTGGCACTTAAATCAGTTTTGTTAGGGTGTTTCCAGTGATTGATCAGTAGTCTCAACACCCAAAGACTGAGTAAATCAGTTTTACTAGGGTTTTTGGTAGCGTCAGTAAATTTTCAAGAATACGGTTCGATCGACCACAAAAAAAATTACTTTGTTAGAGGATTAAACTAATCTAGAATTTTCACTCCTTATTTTGTTTCATTGCCTTAGGTTAATTAATTAATTGTATGGCTCCGGGAATTAATGGTCTTTTAGATGAGAGATTGGTAGGCGGTTCAGCTCTCAGGGAATTAATGGTCTTTTAGACGAGACATTGGTAGGCGGTTCAGCTTTGCAAACTCACAACTGGTGGGAAGCTATCCACACACAGCTTTGTATTTCTACCTATCTTTTTTAATTTTTGGTCGCCAGATCAAATAAATTGAAGAAGATCAAAGAAAAAAAATTAACAAGAGATGTGTGAGAGATACAAATAGGAGTGCAGATAGCGTCATCCCGTACATATCAGGCTGTGGAAAGAATTGATTGTACGTGGTTTTGATCCTTGTATACTTTCTTTGTGTATGAGTTAAGGTTCGAACGGGGGTCTAACAATACTGATTGATGAGATCACGATTTACTTTAGACATATATAGTGAAGTAATCATATATAGTCTTCTAATAATCCAAAAAAACTCGTTAAAGATCTTTTACAGTGTGAAATCCCCTTTTTTCCAGCATACCGGATATCCATGACTACAAGTTCATTTTTCAAACCCTGCAATGCACCTTCTACATACAACAGCAATATATATATATATATGGAAAAGAAAATATTAGTCAAGGTCTTTTTCTGATTAATAAATAAAAAAAAAGTCAAAAGTCTTATTTTTCCACATAAAAAATAATATGGCACGATCATAAATTTGAGTGGAAATTTTTTATTTTGGGGAGGTGGGGTGGGGTGGAGGAAGATCCATTTTATTTTGGGGAGGTGGGATGGGGTGGAGGAAGATCCATACTTCCCAGCCCCCAGGGACAGATTTTCGAACATATTTGTGACTGTGTCAAATGAGATATTCCCATAAATATATGCAAATTGTAAAAATAAACATATATATGATTCACAATAAGTAATGCAATATGACAGTAAAAAGTGATTGATTATTTTTCTTGACTCCCAAACAAGACAACCTCCACAATATAGGATATCTCCCACATGCCTACGGCCACATTTTAGTTGGATGATGACCCCAACCAGTTGTGAGATATTAAATTGTTCAGTTGCTATATTCTATGCCCTCAGGCATGCACCAACTCACACCATTTGCTACTTTGACGACGTGTGGAAGCATAGACTGCATAGTACCAATCATTCTATCCTATATATCGAAAAGATTAAGATAATGAAATTTTCTTTACAATTGTCTATGTACGATATGTTGTCAAACTATGTATGAGTACATAAAGACATGTAATTTCATCTAGTTTCTAACAACACAACGTGCTTAATATCCAGTAAGACGTTATGTATCATAATGAACATAAGGTGTTGTTGTCATTCTAAAAATTTATTGTGCACTTCAAGCTTTATATATTTAGAACGAAAATTACATTTATGAGGAATGCACATTGAGTTTTTTGAAATGTCAATAACAAAATCGTAAACTATTGTTGTAAATATTGTTAATTGCATAATTCTCCAGTTTAGTCATTGTGTAATAGTTAAATGATTTTTTTTTATAGGTAAAATAGGAAAACTTAGAAATATCCACCAAGTAAACCATAAGCATATAAATAGACATCCTAATGAAAAATACACTCTCAATCTCCATAAGCCTATGTGTGGGTAAGCTCGCATGGCCACATTGTCCCGGTGTAGGGACGCTACAAGGTGTCCCCGTTTCGGGTTGTTTTGTCTAACTCAAAATGAATTCATTTTAGAGTAAAGACTTCTGTTGACTTGCTGTATACAACTTAAGAGAACCCTATCGTTGTTGGCGCAAGATATCTGGGGAAAACACCATTTTTGTGGCTAAAGCTCTGGCACTCAGGACGCCTTTTGGACTGCAAAAGGAAGGGGATACAAGAGCGTGTGTTGAAGGTGACTAAATTAGTCATTGGCGCCATTAAAGGCTCCTACTCAACTCCTTGGAGGTCGAAGATATTAAGTGGTTGGTGACTTCCTTTGACTCTTTTCCATATTTATGTGCTTATGGAGACAAATTCCTTGACGAATGTAGTCTCTAGGACTGATTTAGTTTTAGTAACTTCCACAATTGGGATAGAGCCTTGCCCTTAGTGGCAATGAAAACTTTCTTATTTGATTGTATTGGAATTGGATTTAATCATGGTCACACTATTTAATACTTATTTTATTTTCTTGAGCAAAGAAAAAAAGACGGGGGCGTACGTGTGGTTGGGCCTGCAAGGCCACATTGTCGAGGTGCAGGGACGCTAGAAGTTGTACCAGTTTCGGGTTGTTTTTGTGTTCTTTTGTCCGACAGTTGCACCTAAGCGGGACGTCTTGTGTCTGTATCCATGTGGTTACTCCGATAGTCGAACCTTAGAATTTGCTCACTATTTAATGTGTTTTTGTAACTCAATGTGGGCCCCATTTAGAATGAGAGTAGAACTACCATGGACTTGATTTGGGTAGCTAAACGTTAATGGGCTACTCAATTCGACCCACGAAATCTGGTGCCGTGTTGATCTATGATCTATCATTAATTTAGGGGGGCTATTTGGGATTTTCAAGAGTCATTACGTAACTTCTTTTTTTGTCGAAAGAGTCATTACATAACTTATTCACGGGAGATTTTTTGTGTATTCGAAACATGTGCATGTATATCATATTTTATTATACAAATAAAGAGATACTTGAAATAAAAATTTCTTCTGTTTGTATAATAACACTAACATACAATTCCGTATTTTGAGCGCAAACTCTCTCCTTATTCACAACGTGAATGGCCCCGTCTCCTACCTTCCTAGGCAGATCGCACTAGAGTACAGTTCCGCTGTACCAATCCACCCAGCTGCCAGCCTAACCTAAAGCATTCATGATTGGCATGGCTTTTGGGGTATATGAATCAAGGAAATTACAAATTTTAAGGATCTTTATGCAGCACTAGTTCTATTACTTAACGGTACACTTTTGGTGGGTGATTTTAACGCATTTGTTTAGCTTGTTGTCATCCGAAAATATTCAATTTAGAGTGCCATTAATTTAGAAATGAGTGATAAATCTGCTTGTCTTATAGGAAAATTATGTGTCCTACCCATCACATGATAATGTTTTAAATGTTTGGACGATTAAGCATCAACACATGCAAAAAATAAGTGTAACGGAGGTGAGAATGCTTCGTTGAATGTGTGGATACATGAGAAAGGACATGATTAAGAACGATGATATCCGAGGTAAAGTAGGAGTTTGGACATGTGAACTGAAAACCTATAAATGCTCCGGTTAGAAAATGTTATTATGAAATAGAGGCTTAGGCAAAATGGATAGAAAAAGACCTAGAAAGACTTGGAAAGAGACTAAAAGACATAGAGTACTTAGAATTAACGGAAAACTTGACGCAAAATCAAACGCAGTGATGTTTTAAAATTCATCCAACTGATCCCACTTAGTAAAATGAAACTTTGCTGTTGCTTATGTTTAAAAAAGAAGGAAAAGACAAAAGAACAAATAGTACATGCTCCCATGATAGTTAGTTGATTACACATGACCTGCTTACTTTTGAATCTTTTTGTCTAATATTTTCTGCGCTGTCTTTATAGAAGGCCTAACTTTCGACCTTCCTTAGTGGCTAAACAAATCATAAGCTCCAAACCCCTTGATCTGGTTGATCTTTTTGGATTGCTTCGAGAGCCAACACTTATGCTCACATGTGCTTATGGTATAATTGTTTTCATTAGAAACAAGTATAAATTTAAAAAAAAATAAAAAAATAAAAAAATTCAGTTGCAAAAAAATATTTAACTTGTCAAAAAAATATAACTGTTTATGCTAAACGCAATGGAAAACTGTTTTAGTTGTCAAAAAAAAAATTTTAGCCCTCTTAAATCAGTTGCAAGCAGGCACTACATCTAACCACTCACAACTTCGACTGGTCTAACCAATCAAATGACAAAAGTGCTTATAATCAAAGCACTTTGCAGAACAAGGCCACTTCTGTTTAGGACTTTTCCACACAGTGCTTGCAAATTGAAATCAGCAGTTTCAAAAGCAAAACCATTCAAACCACAAACATCTACAAGTTTCCCACCTTTAGCTCCACCTAAACCCCCTTTTACAAATACCAATACAAACAAATTGGTCCCACTTCTACCCCTCAATCAAATGCTTCTTTTCCTTTACTTGCTTTAACCAATTACCTATTTTATTTAAACAAACAATTATCTTCATCTTCCCCCTTCATTACTTGGTTCAGCTGTTTTGCTTCTCGTTGTTTTCCAGAGATGTTAGCCCTTCCACGTCCACCGCCGTCCCCAATTCCACCTTCACCGCTACCTCAACCTCCACCCCAACGGCATAGCAGACGCCCGCCCCTATTCCCAAGGCCAACGACACCAATCTCCCTCAGCCAAATCATCATATCAAAGCGTGCTGAGAATGGAGAAGCTCCAGCACCTGATGCAGAAAACCTTAATTCAAGTAAACCAACAAAGCAAAAAATACTCCGGCAACCTCAACGGACAAATCCGCTTGTATGGTGCTGTGCAATTGCATGTCTCATATTTAGTGTTATTCTTATTTTCTTTGGAATTGCAACTTTGATACTTTTCTTAGTCGTTAAACCAAAAACTCCATCGTTTGACATCCCCAATGCAAGCCTCAACACCATCTACTTCGACTCACCTGAATATTTCAACGGTGACTTCACTTTCCTAGCAAATTTCTCCAACCCTAATCGGAAACTCGATATAAGATTTGAGTATCTGGATTTGGAGCTTTTCTTTTCTGACAGGCTCATAGCAACTCAATCTCTTGCACCTTTCACACAAAGACCTGGAGAAGGAAGAGTGGGATCAGTTCGCTTGATATCGAGCTTGGTTTACCTTCCTGTCAATCATGCTGTGGCACTTCAAACGCAGGTGCAGAACAATCAAGTTAACTATAATATGAGAGGAACATTTAAAGTGAGAGCCAGTCTAGGTATGATCCATTTTTCTTACTGGTTGCATAGCAGATGCCAATTACAGATGACAGGTCCGCCGAGGGGTGTTTTAGTTGCAAGAAGTTGCAAATCTAAAAGATGAAGATCCAGGAGCATTCTTTCCTGGTATCTTCCTTCTATGTTCCTAGTATGTCTACTTTGAAACCTAAATGTGTAAAGGTCATACGAGCTATATAAATATAATAAATGAGCATTCTTTTCTACAAACTTATGAAAGTCCTTTTCTTTTCTGTTTTTGCATTCGGACATTCGGTTGGTTGTATCACAAATCCATTAGTAATAAAACCTAAGAAGGACACAATTTATCATCTAGAACAAATACAGGTGCTAAACATATGGGACTAAAGAACAAAGGAAACCCGATAGCCTCGTCTGTAGAACGGAAAAAGAAAAGGTCTGCTGAATTGGAACTCTGTTTGAGGAAGTGGAAGCACTAGACTTCTACTTGTGGAAAACTCTAGCAAGAGATGTATGGAGATTCAAATAGGATCCTGCAAAGATTTACACATAACTTCTCCCTTGTTTTAACACTGACACATTATCTGCTATGGTGTTCCATCACTGCACTACCGCTTTCATATGTTTACTTAATTAAAAGAATTCATATGAAAAGCAATGTTCGGTTCAAATTTTTACAGAAAGTTAGCTAGACAACGAATCACAACAACAGTTGGAGAATCCAGCAACAGGTTTGTGTTTGTGGGGGGTACTTTTCTAGATAGCTCCTGTCCAAAGTGTCCTAATCAGAAATCACCTAATACACTACAACTTTTAGATCCATCAGCAGTTTATATAATCAGAAAAGATATAAAGGAATTGATTTGTAGTTTAAAGAAACACCACAAGATAACAGTCCGATGTTTAATACGACTATGTACTAGACAATCAATCATGTTACGTAATGGACAGCCTGTGGCTGGAGCGTAGCCAGCAGATGAAAACAAGCACAACCTCTATACTTTGTACTAGAATTTCTACCAGACAACAATACATATCTAAACTGCCTTACAAAGAGATTTAGTCTTCAAATTTACGGTTACCATTACAATTATTGATCTCCCTAAGTGCTATATCGTTACGTTTCATTATATCCATTGTCATATACCAAGTCAATCAAAGTTCGAAAGAATCACAAAGACAACTAAAATATATAGCTAGTTCGCTAGAATGTTGTCACCAATATGTAATTCAATTATGCATTGTAACGATTCAAGGCAGCAATGTTCACATTCTAACAAATCTTATGAGCACTATGTGTACAACAGTTCTGAAAATTCAGACCAACAGCCTCATTATACGATCATCAAGCAAAATATAAGAACAAAAATTAAAAAATATGAACCTCTTTTACATGAGAAACCCGGAGCCGTGCCTTCACCCTCCACTCACTTCAGACGGTGTTTTCGCCACAATCGACAATGCATGTAGTCCACTTTGCAATTCTTCTTGCAACAAACCATATATAAGCCTATGCCTCTTAACCAAACTCTTCCCTCAAACTCCTTAGACACAACTCTCACATTGAAATGCGTCTCCCCATCACCACTTCCTCTAACCCCGGCATGCCCGGCATGTTGATAAGAGATGTCTTCCACTTCCAATTCCACAGGACTTAACTCTCCCATCAATTTCTCCTGAATTCTCTTCCCTCTGCTTCCCAAGTCACCTGAATCTGCCACATTTTCGCTCATTTCACTCGCTACCAGTTCCAATTGCTTAATATTTTCTCCAGAACTCAATCCAATATCCTCACCCTCAATCCCACCATCAACTCTCAAACCCGAATTCGAATTCGAATTCTTTTCCCCACCCACTTCAGAATCCACTCCAAGCTCCAAACTTTTGACACTATCTTCAATTTTTGCTGTGAAACGCTCACTCTCCCCTCCATTTTCTTCCTCCACAAGCAACTCCTTCGCCTTCCTCTGCATCAACCTCAACATATTCACAAACCCATTATTCCTCGACGGCGTCAAGCTCTGCTGCAGCCCCAGAAGCACCGCGAAATCGGGCGAAACCCGCAAAACCTCATCCACCTGGCGGCCCGATAACCCGCCAACTAGCAAAGCAGCGAGCCCCTTGGTGAGGACCGAGTCGGAATCGGCCTCGAAAAACACATTCTTGTCCGAATCAAGATACGCCCTGACCCACACCTGAGAGACGCATCCCTCCACTTTGTTCTGCTTCGTCTTGAATCGATCATCCAACGGCTTCAAATTCTTGCCGTAGAACAGGAGCTGCTCGTACTTGGCCTTGGGGACCTCTACGGACTGGAAAAGCTTGACGATTTCCTGGAGCTTCGGAGGGAGGTCCTCGACCGGCTGCAGGGACGTGGAGCTCGAGGCGGATGCGGACGGCGGCGTAGGGGAGGAGGAGGATATGGTGGGGATTCTTTGGAAAGTGATGTGCCTTTGGGGGAAAGACAGAGATGGGGGTTTTGGGGTCTTAGGATTGAGAATTGAGGTAGGGATTTTGGTGGTGAATAATCGAAACGACGATGAGATTGAAGAAGACGACGACATTTTTGGAGGAGGAGAGCGAAGAGAAGAGAGGGACACAGTGGCAGATTCAGAGAATTGAAGAAGATGGACTCAAAACTCCCCGTTTTGTCTTTTACTAATGAGTTGTTTATATGTTTTCTGGGCCTTGAGTCTCATAGTTCCAAAAAAAATGAAAATAAGTCCAGTAGAACATAGGGTTTGATATAAATTCTCTCTGCATGACGTTCATTCTTGGTTAAGCGGGCACGTTGACATTACTGCATAAGTATTTGTCTCTAGTTTGATAACATGATATTTACAACAACAACAATTAAGTTTTATATCACCAAATGAAGTCAATTGTATGAATCTTAGAACTTACTGCGCTCAGTTTTGTGCCAAGTATTCTGTTAGCTTCAAGTAATCTATATTCTTCCAGTCTCTTTTCAAATCTTCCTAGATATTCCTTTGCTCCGTTTACCTTGTGTCTATATCTCATGGTCGTATCTTCTAATGAAATCATATGTAGATCTTTGATTCACATGTCCAAACCAATATAACTAATTTTTCTATTAAATGATTGTTATCAAAGTTGTACTCCTCATTTAACCTTGAATTTTCTTTTCTTGTTATGTGACTAATTTCGTAGAAAAATATGACAGATATCAAATCGTGCAGGAAATAATATGAGTACGAGCAAAAGTTGGAATCTCATGAATAGTCTTGTTACTAGGATATAATCATTTGTACTATTTGAAAGGCGGCTGTTTTCTCTGGAATTTTTTTAGCAAAACTTAAAAACCTAAGCACAATTCTAAACATCTTTCGTTTGTGCAACCTAAACATTTTCGTTGTAGAGATTATGTCCAATCACAGCATTATATTAGTCATGAGAACGTTGTTCATAAAACTTGGAACCTCGTTCAACGTTAAGAAAATAGATACCACGAGATAGAAAAGCTCAACTATGTGCAAAACTCAAAGGTTTCGAGTTCATGTAGTTGAAGCCACGGTGTCAGTTACCCTAAACGTAAGACCTCAACCAGGCACTCCAGCACAATTAAATTATCAAAAACGAATTCAAGCAGAACAATTTTGAAGGGTTTAATGGAAAACAACTTTGAATAAACAAAATAAGCAACAAAGCTTCAGCATCATATACTTGAACAAACTAACATTATATAACGACCAAGATCCTGGAAAAACATTCACATATTCTTGAGGACAACATCTTCATGCGATAATTGGTGATATCCAGTTTCTTGACTGCTCTCTGGGCATCCTCCCGGTTCACAAACTCGTCCAATCCAAATCTGTTGCGGCTCCAGATATAGCCACAGCAGCTGTGAGTGTGAAAAAAGTTGGAGTTTTACCATAAATTTAATTGGAAATATAGAGATACCCAATTACTTATAACATGTCCTTACGATGAATTTTTAAGCATAGCACATGAACAACACAAATCAGGAGATGTGGAGCACGTGTGGCCATTGAGCTTCATATATAGGACAACCTACTCTGATATCATGAAGAAAGTTGATGTTCCACTATAAAACCAATTGACAGGATGAAGAATAGCTCCATTTCTTATAAGCACATTCAAAGTCCATTTTCTTCCGATGTTGGGTTAGTATGCTCTCAACAGAGTGTGCTATTGGGGCTGGTCATATCCTTGGATGATGGACGTGGCAAAATTAGCATGAGGGAAATGTGGTTGAGGTATGAGATCTTTTGTAGCACCATGAAACTATGACCTGTATGCCGTCAGTAGCAGTTGCACGAGGAAACAATTAACGTTATGTCTTTGTTGTTGTATGGCACTTCTCTTGGAGTGTGCATTTGTTGCACTGAATTATATCGGACCGGACTAACTTCAAGGTATAGAGCAATAAGTAGAGTTGATAAAATAAAATTACACTGAATATTTTTTATTCTTGATCTTATACCGGCCATCCAGTTAAGGGCTTTAGTACTAGTTCTAGTACTTGTATCCCTTAACAAACAAGCTCTCAGAAGCCAGTCCACCGGCACTTCCTCCAGAGTACTTTCCAAGAGTGGCATCTGAGTTTGCCTTGCACCTTGTCAAGAACGTCTCCTGAGCTTTCGCAACATTCTCCTTCTTCCCACCCCAAGTCTTGAGTGTGCTTGCTTGCAAAGCTCGCCCGAATGAGAACGAAAGGGTCCATGGCTTCAACACATCCAACCTGTTCATTGCATCCAAGTTGAGTGTTGCCTCTTCCTCACTTTGTCCTCCGGACAGAAACACAATCCCCGGCACAGCTGCTGGGACTGTCCGGCGCAGTGCAGTCACTGTGTACTCGGCAATCACCTCCGGCGTAACCTGTGCAAAGATTGAAGCCATTTCAGTTTGAAGAAAAACTATGTTGACAATGTTGTATGTGCCGGTTATATATAACATTCCTCTCTCAATACGTCTACACGAAACTACTATTATATGTTGCGACCAACAAGCATGTGATCTATGAGAAAAGAACTTTTATGTTACAACCCTTATCGTAACTCCAACAATAAATATAACATGTATACGATACACTATGTCATGCTATCATAGTATTACAAAGTCATCTAAATCACAATTCCTACAATATTTAATATAACATTCAATGGTGAAATTTTAAACTTAAGATACAATAAATTGGGTTAATTTTATACACACAGTAAACTCTTACATTCCACATCTTCAAGTTATCATATATACAACAGTTGTATGCAAGAAGTTCTTTGCAAGAGACATTATACATAATATATCAACACACACGTGTATATATACAACTATTGTAAGTAATAATTTCTTTGAGAGAGAGAGCTCATGAGAATTTAGAGAATAATCAATTTTTTTTTTCACCTTTGGGCTGTCAGAGCCTGGAGTAACCATGTTGGGCTTAAGGAGTGTGCCTTCAAGAAGAACATGTTGCTCATTGAGTGCCTTGTAAACTGCTGCAAGAACCATTTCAGTAGCAGCCGCACATTTCTTAATGTCATGGTCTCCATCAGTCAAAATCTCTGGCTCAACGATTGGCACCAGTCCGTTCTCCTGGCAGATAATCGCATAGCGAGCCAAACCCTGCGCATTCTGCTGGATGGACAGTTCCGAGGGCTCTGTTAGGCCTATCTTGAGCACCGCGCGCCATTTGGCAAAGCGCGCGCCCGCCTTGTAGTACTGTGCGCACCTAGCTCCCAGAGAGTCAAAGCCTTGGGTTGTTGTCTCTCCGTTTGTTCCAGCTAACTCAACGGTGCCCTTGTCAACCTTGATCCCTGAATCAAAGTGGTAAACATTGACATCAATGAAAATACCAAAATATGGAAACTTGAAGAGAAGTGTCAAAAAAAATATGTCGAAAAAAACTATGTTGCTTCTATTTATCGAAATTTAACTTAGACCATACCTGGAATGACATTGTTTTCCTGGAGGATTTCGACGAAGGGTTTGCCATCAGAGCTCTTCTGGTACAAGGTCTCCTCGAAGAGGATGACACCGGAGAGGTAAGGGAGGGCGTTGGGAGAAGTGAAGAGAAGTTCTCGGAGAGCTTGGCGGTTGGACTCGATGTTCTCGACCTTGATGCTGGATAGACGCTTGCCAATGGTGCCCGTGCTCTCATCTGCTGCCAATATGCCCTTGCCTGGGGTGGCAATGTACTTGGCATTCTTTATGAGCTCCTCTGCACAAAATCAAAAGGGCTTGAGTATTATTCGAACTTTTTACAAGTTAAAGTATGACTGCAATGAGTTATATATGCCTAAATGTTCTCTTAAGGAAATTGTCCTTTTTTATTATTTTTTTTTTCTTTTGAAAATTTTCTTGGTCAATGACCTAAATTGT